CAATAACAGAAGCAAAAGCAAAATACCCCTCTATCCCCCCAGGACTTTGTCTGATGCAGTCAAAATAAAGAAGGAAAAGAAACACATTCATTCTTCCTTTCTGAGACTATTTAGAAAATACAGTTTTCTCCTTTAAAGTCAAGTTAAGCTAATTAAGACCCAAATGACAGAAATAAGGTCCAGGGAACAGTTTAGCTGCCAACCTTCTTTTTTATTTAAACAATTTTCATACCCTCTTTTCCGAGTTCTGGCTAAATGTACCCAGTAAGATAAAACATTTTTTTTACTAAATGAAATGTTTTCTTTAGGCCCACTAGCACCTTAATTTTCTTTAAATGATGCAACTTTGATAAAATCTGATATGTCTGATTTTTAGTTTGAGTAAGACAAAAAATTGGTAAATAACCTAATTGCTCATGTCTTATTTAAATAACAATTCTCTGCATTATAGAGGAATCAATGTGAAGTGATAAAGGCAAATGAAAACATCTGAAGATTCACAAATCAGATTTTAGCCATCCTTTCATTATCTCTTGTCATCTGTGTTCCTGATAAACATACTTTCTGCTTTTTGTGTATATTAGTCTATGTGATACAACTCAGATTAATTTTCATTTTTTGTTGTATTGTAATATGAAAATTGCCCCAAGCACTTTTGGAGATCTAAGTTAAAATCAAGGCTGGCTCAGTGCTATCAGAATAGTCTGCTGGAGATTTTATTGGAGATGATAGCTGTGTTGCTGGGGTTGTCTATGATATGTTGTTTATTAAAAAAGAAAAACATCAATGCTAGGAGGGATTAAAGTTGTCCACTAACTTTCTCAATTTGTTTCCCCAGAGGTCTTTGTTTTCAATGTCATCACCAGAGAACTCTGTGTAAAAATAAGATTCAATTTAAGAATATTTATAGAATAGAGGTCTCTGTGTATTCTCTCCTCCCCACCCCGCTCCCCATACACACTTTGCAACTTTGCCTCACCTTCAAACCAAAGTGCAAAACAAGAGCTTAGCAAGCAATGTGAGCATCAGGATCAATGAGCCCCCTTAAGGAATTAAAAGCAAGCCACGGAATGCCTTTTAACAATAATTAACTTTATAAATCTTAGCATTTCTGAGCAGGCCATTTTCTTTCTGGAAGAATGCTCCAGGCAGGCAGCATTCCCTAGAATATTAGTTTCCAGTTATGTGGACTCTGTCTCCATTCAAAATGGCCTCAGGGGCCATTTGCTATGCCTTTGACTTGGGAAGAGGATGATTCTAATGTTTAGAAGTTCAGTTCTTCCTAGAAAGGGCTTTGGGGCTCTTCCTGTTCTTTTAGGATGGTGTTCAAACCTTTACTTACCTATTTCTCGAAGTTTGAAATGGGCAAGCTGTTTGTCTTTATTGGGATGTTTGGAGGACTGCAAAGATTGAGAACTGGTATGTAAAGTCCTGATCCTAATGTCTGTAGCCTACAAGCCTGATTATATGTAATGTCCTCTCTACTACTCTTCCCTGAAAAGTACAGCCTTTACTTTATTCTTACATAGTTCATTGTAGGAGTAAATAAGCAAGGATATTTATTCTCATAGTCCTTTCTCCTGATTTTCCTTTTGTACAAATCTGTGCAGTCTTGACATCAAAGCCAATTGCTGTTGCTATTGTCTATGGTATTTGAGTTTGGGTGTTTGGCTTTGATGCTGTTTATTTCTTAGATATTAACAATTGTCTGAAATAGAGATGGTGCAAGAAGCTTACACTTTGGGGCAGACGTAGTGAAGGGAAACTAAACATTTCATCAGATACTTTTGTTGTAAAACAGAATGAATCGTTCTCTGTTGTCTCTGTCTCTTTGTCTTTCTCTTGTTTTCTTCTTTCTTGCTTTCCTTCCTTTCTTCCCCTCCCACTTCCTCTCTCCTCTTTCTCTATTTCTCTCCCTCTATTTCTCCCTCTGTTTTTCTCTCTCTCTTGTAACTCACAAGATACATTTTCCTTCCTCTACCCATGTTGAGACCCTGGAAAGCAAACCTTAGGAGAACTAGTGAATAGAGGAATTCCAGGGGGTGAAATCTCAGCTCTGTGTAGATGTACAACATTATGCATACTCAACAGATGTTAATAAATACCTATTCCCATTGTTTTGAGAAAATGCAGCTAGCTGATTTGGTTGTGAATTGCAATGGTCAATGAAAGGACCTTGTACCTAGACAGGATGTGTTATAAAAAGTAGAAGACGAATCTAGATACCAAGCAAAAATGATCTTATTGCTTTGTCATAGCAAATTTGTTGCATTTTTATGGGATGTCATTCCTATAACTATACAAGTTCTCTGTGTCCTTGCCATATACCTTCTTGGATGTCCTTACAACACATTGTTGTGGACACAGAAAAGTTTCAGTAGATCCTTGTTGATTGAAACCAACCATTATGAGATCTTGAAGGCAGAGATGTGAAGAGGTAAAATGAAGGCTGTGGAGAGAGAGGAGGAGAAGCAGAGCAAGAATTAAATATAGAAACCACCCGGGGAGCCAGGAGAGACCAAGGCTGGTGAGCAACTAACAATTTAAGTTCTCCTGAGGGGGAAAAATATAACTGGACAGAAGAGAAAGTTTCATCTGAAGAGTTAATTAACCAAATTATAAGACTTCTAAAATATACCTCTCATTGGAGTCGTAATTTTGAGAATTAAAAAAAGAAATAGCAGAAGGTATTCTGATTTTTCTACAAATCTGTATAAAATTTTTACTTATATGGTAGTAGAGGTTTCAGAAGGGGGAAATGTAATCTGCTATGGTTTATGGGTCCTTTGAATGTTTTAACTTCAGACTCTGTGACATGAAGGGGAAACCACATATTAGAAATGACTTCTATTCTGATTTATTTTTTTAAGTGTAGAAGTAGCTGGCCAAAACCAAGCAGGAAAACCCCAACAACTTAATAAGAACAGCTAAAATGCTCAACAACAGCACAGCCTGGTGTAGGGTAAAGGACATCTCTAAAAGGTGTAAAAAAAGATTTTTAGAAAATCTGATAGATGCCTAGCAATAAGCTAAACAGAAGTATCAGTGACTGTCATGATGCAGAAATCACTTGATAATAATTAATAAACATTGATGCTTCTTAGCCCTGTGACCAATATTGTTTCACAGTTGACTGTTTTGAGGGTAGAACCAATGACCTTTGCCCTGAATTTTAATAATTTACTGAAGTTTTACATTAAGTCAGAATCTAATTGAGAAGAAAATGAGTGTTTCTTTGTGGTGGGTGCTGAGGAATGGCACTAATTGCATGTATGAATGCATTCCTGGTCCTTTTTATTTTATTTTTTATATAGAAAATTAAATCTGCAGCAACTTTCTGCCATCTGTAATGGGGTGGGGGGAGAATGTACCAGTGAAAAGTATTTGGCTAACGTGAAATGGCAAAGCTGTTGGACATCTATCTTTTTACATTCAGTCAGAAAAAACTGTCGTTTCATTACATTATTTAGAAATATACCAGCAACTTGTTGCAGATATCAGGGTAGACAAATGTGAAGGAAGCTGCAAGCTGGCAAATTGTTTCTTGTTGTTTGGTTTGGTTTTGACTTTCTTTCACTTTGCTATTTGAGCAACTGAATATTTACAACTGTGTAAGAGGAAAAACAGTCACCACGGTTTTCTTTCTAAAGAGTTGGACAATAAGAACATTCATTAAGTTAACCTCAGTAGAATAAGATCTTAACTAATAATGCTTTAGAAACTAGTTTTAGATACTTGGGAAGGTGTTTTTTTTAATTTTTTCAGATACATTATTGTCAAGTGAAAGACTTGAGCTGGCTTAAGAAGTTGATGAGATTTGATTTTATTTTTATGGAAACATATCTAATTCACCAAGATATGCACAAAGATATTGGGACATGACAGGGTTAAATTTGACTGCTGGAATGTTACGGGAAGTGTTTTTCTGCCGTGTCTAGTGGTGTGAGTTTGTTATGTATTCAATATGTAATGTCATCATAAAATAGATGCACCTGCATTAGCCTTCATTGTCTCAAAGGTACGAGCTGAAAAATAATAAAAAGCAATACTTTTCAGTATTTTTCCTTTACTCCGTGGACATTCCTGATTCCAAAAGCAAATTGTACAACCTAAGGCACTAGGGTTGGAATTCAATGTTTATTCAAAAAGGCACCCTAAGGCACTTAGAGAGAAAATGCTCCATGTATGAAAAAATAAAAATAAAAGGAGCTGAGAATCTACACTGGCTGTTCTGGGCAAGGCAGTAACTGTATTTACTAACATTTGTTTGCTGGGAGCCTAGGAGAGAAATAGACATAATTAGGAACAACCTGGAAGAATAGGGTTTTGTGACTTGCTTTCCTTATAAGGATCAAAGCAATCTGCAGTAACAATCCAGGAGCTGGTATTTCCCACTGCCAGGACAGACGATTTCTGGGTGCAGGAGTTTGTTTGTACCTTCACAAACACAGGCTATGTTGTTGATTAAATAAGCCAAAAAATAAAATAAAATAAACATAAAAGCCTCATTTGCTGCTTTTCAAACACCCCCCCCCCAAAAAAAAAATAATTAGGAAATGTCTCCTGTGATAAACTCTTGCCTTGGTACCAAACTCATTCTGGGTCCACCTGGAGTTTGTAGAGTCCTTAGAGAATGTACATTTTTTAGCCAAGAGTATAGTTTCTCTGCCATGTACCGGGGAGTTTTGCCACTTGCTTGTTTGGGAAGGGGGAAAAAAAATAAATTAAAAAAAGATTGCAGGGGATTTTGGTTATTACTTGACCAGGGCTGCGTTGGGAGCTAGTGGAATTCAAAGCTGGCTTTAATCACAGCATGATTCTTGAAACCTCCTAAACTCCAAGTATTTTCTTTTTTTCCTCCCCCCCCCCCCCCCCCAGCGTTACTTCACTGAGGCAGAAGGCTGCCTTTGCGTGACGTCAGGAGTTTGAGCAGCAGGCTGCACCGGGAGAAGGGAGGTTGGGTGAGTGACAGACAGCCCAGCCTACTTTTTAATGGCTTTGTCATGTGACTGGGACTGTAGTAAGACAGGTGCCTTCAGTTCACTCTCAGTAAGGGGCTGGTCGCCTGCATGAGTGTGTGCTCTGTGGATTCGAGCTGAAAAGGCTTGCCTGGCGTCATTCAGGAGCTGGGAGCTGGATGGCGTGGGACATGTGTAGCCAGGACTCTGTATGGAGTGATATCGAGGTGAGCCGGGACCGGGCTCGGCAATGCAGGACGGAGACTTTCCTCAGACGCAATTATTCCTTGGAAGGGGGGGGGGGGGGGGGGGAAGGAGGGGGGAAGGGCTTGGGAGAGGGACCAGAGGTAAAAAAGTAGCCAGCAGGAGCTTTTGGAAAGGAGTCTCAATCTTATCTTAACTCCAATAAGTTTGCTATTTTAAGGTAGCTCTGAGATGCCTTGAGCAAATCAAAGCTTAGCTGCTGTCAACAGTATCTGTAGCAGTTAGAAACTCTTTCCCTGTGCCTTTGGCTCTGTTTCTACTCCTATGCAATATTTATGCTCTAAGATATTGATATGAATCAAAAGCAGAAGTCTTTCCAATGGTGTTTAGTGGCCTGCTTGGAGAAAAGCCATTTCTATTTATAAGGAAGCGAAGATAAACATTAAAATGGATGTGTTCAAATATACTCCTTTTTTTTTTTTTTATTGGACTCTAGTCCTGATTTTCCCAATCTCTCTGTACATCAGAGACAGAGAACTTAACACGCACACACACACATACACAAAAATCTTAAATAATCCGGCTGGGTTATTTTAGATAGCTTTTCCTATGGAACACAAAACAAGCATGCAGCTTCCTCCGAAACTCTTGTATGTGGTTGAAAGATTTAGCCAGCTGATTTTTTTAAGGCTTTTTTTTTTTTAAACCGGTGCAAGGTTTTGCGTTTGTGCAGGCTGGCAGAGAAGTCAATGGTTAAAAGTCTCCCTTGTATGTACCACGGAGAGCTGCCTGAAGCAGGGGAGAGAGAATAGAGTTTATGCAAGACCGTGTGTGGAGCGGCTCGCTGCTTGTGTAAAAATAGATGGCAATACATCAATTCCACAGTTTCTGCTGGCTACAATTCATACCGGGGTTGAAGGGAAAGGGAAAAGAAAAAAAAAAAAAGAAAGAGACGCCAGCGGTTTCCTCGTAATCTCTGGAGTCTAGCAAAGGGACTGGGATCTCTGGCTGTTTGCATTCAGTACAATGGAATGCTCTCAGAAAGTTTGGGCAAGTTGAGAAACAGGAGAAACTTTCTCCCCCCCCCCCCCGCCCGCCCCCTCCCGCCCTGTGGACTCTTGGTGAGATGGACCCGAATTGAATTGCACCGAGGATCCCAAGAGCTGCTAACAATGAATCCTGGCAAAGGCGTGCCGGCTTCCTGTGGGTAGCTGGGGGCACGTAGGGTAAGGGGGAGGGCCGTGCACTGCACGTGATTTGATTAAATAAGATGTCCATGTGGTCCCACGATACGCATCTAAAGTGAAAATCATTTGGCCAAGGCCGGTCTGCCAATGCATTTTTCCTATCTAGCCAGGCGTGCCCCGGATTCTTTTAACTCTTCGCTGGGTTTTGCTGATGGTGTCTTCCTTCGCTCTGCCTTCTGCCTCGGCGGATATTAGGTGTGGGTTGTAATGGTGCTTATCTTGCTGTGATTTCTTGGTAAGGCAGGGATAGATATGGATAATTCATGGGTCCGGCAGCTATTAAGAGTCAGAGTTCTAAGTGGCTTCAAAGTCCTGATTGTTTGAGTAGCCAGAGTGTCCTGCTGCTGCGGGCGGCGGTAGTCTGGCTGGCACTGTGGTCTCAGTTGCTGTTCTTTCCAGTTTTTTTACCCACCCCCGTCATGTCATGTATTATTTCTGAGGTTGCTGGTTGATGGGGGAACTCGATCGTATGGAAAATCAGGAAGCCCTACTTCAGTCCCTGGCATGCCTGCAGACATTTATTTGCAAATAAGCACGGGGAGCTATTTAGAGCAGCGGCCTTTGAAATGATTTTCTTAAGGAGGAGGGGTCTCAGGGCTAATTGTCCAGCCAGGGATTGAGTGTTGGGTCAGCTGTGACTGGCCAGTCAGGGTTAACACTGTAAGCCGCCAGCGCTGGAAAGTCCTGCCTTCATGGTAACAGCTCTGGGAATCACCTCACCCGGCTAAAATATTACAAGCAGCGGGGAGCAGAGGCAGCTTTCATTTTTTGAATCATTAATGTTTGCTGTCCTCCTAAAACCCATTATGCCCTTTTGCACATAATGACAGGACAGCACATTGGTTAATAAAAGCGACCATCACTAGAGCTACTCAGAGAGTTCTCGGTGTTTTGCAGTTTAATGAAGGTGATGTACAATATGGTTACTGAGATTGATAGAGACAGTTCACTGATGTACACCCACCAAGACTGACTGCCATTCCTAAAGTCTCCTCCACCCTCTCCCCCCTGTCTTGTCTAATTCTTTTTAAAAAGTTAAGATTCTCTTTTCTTTCATTAATATAATTAATGTGGCTGAGTCCACTCTTTCTTTTTATTTTTTTCCTCTCTTACTCTCTTTAAAATTTACCATCAATGGCACCAAAATCTCCAAAAGGTTAATGGAGAATTATACTTAATTATAATGATTCATTATCATCAGTGCAGTTAAGCTAATTTATTGTCTGCTCCTTAACTAAGAGAAAAGTCTGTTGGGGTGAAATAACGTACAATAATTAGCCTTTTGTGTTTAGTGACTGCTTTATCCTCTTAAATCGTATTATAAAATTAAGGCTACAGTAGTGAATAGCTGTCAGTGTTGCACAGAGGCAGTAGAATGTGTCTGTGTAATTGCAATAAAGCACACCTGTTACAGATGTGTGGGGAAGCCGTAAATATCAGCATGTCAGATGAGGACAGTTACAGGGCTTGCACAGTTAAGCCTGGCATCATCCAAAGGCCAAATATAAATTAATAACATGAACACTTGCTACTACTAATGTGTTTTAGATTAGCAGTATAATGTCACATTCAGAAGCATGCTGATTTCATTCGCATGTCAACATTGGCAAAAGCAAAGGGCCCTTTTTGCAATCAGAGAGAGAGAGAGAGAGAAAGAGAGAGAGAGAGAGAGACAGAGACAGAGAAAGAGTGGAGATAGGATAAAATAATAGAACAAATGGACAGATTGAGATGGTCTAGCCAAAGGTTGTCTAAGTTATTTACAAATACAACTTTCTAGATGATTAAAGGGTTTTATATAAGTTATGCCAGGAAAGGACAGTGGGGGGGGGAGGGGAGAGTGGGAGAGTGAGAGAGAGAGAGAGAAGAGAGAGAGAGAGAGAGAGAGAGAGAGAGAGAGAGAGAGAGAAGCTCTCTAAAAGTCAGTCAATTGACACCATAGCCTTCCAACACAGTTCCTGAGCCCTATGACAGACATTTACACCATACCTAGACAGCTACCTTATTTAACTTAGTTTTACTTTTGGATTGTATTTTTCAGTTGTTTGTGATTTCTAAAGGACTAACCCACCACCATCACCAATGAAATCCTAAGTTGTTTCTTTATTCTTGCGCAGTTAACCTAGTGCTCTGTTGGTCTCTGCATTGGGTGTTGAGAATGAGTTGAGACTGTTTGTGTTTGGAGGATAAGTAAGTTCTTGTAGGCAAGAATGGAGCTGGGGAGGTGTTACGCCCATAACAAAACAAGAACATTGCACTGGGACAAGAGCTACTTTTCAGGCCTGCCTCCTATACTCATAAACCCAGTAGAGTATACCAATCTGTAACTTTCTGCTAGCTCAGATAGTAAAAAGGAAAGCTCAATAAAATGATAAGGAAGGTATTTTGATAGACTGGAGAGCCCTTCCTCTTTCTGTTGCCTTGAAGCTGCTGCTTAGGATCTCCTTGGGCCTCATTGGTCCTTGGGAAGATTTACTGGTTCCTCCCAGGTTCCACTTACCAACTGTTGACTCTATTACCCAGTACCTACTTCTCACTGTCGCTTACCACCCCACTGCTGTCTATGACCCATGTAATGTGGCCTGCCAAGGTGATCAAGAAGAAAGATCTACATAAAGCTTACTTCAAAATTTAAATGTCATCTTCAGCTGATGTGAACCAATTTAGCGTTTCTCCTGATCTCAGAAGGCAGAGGCATTAGGGCCCTACTTCTGAGCATGAGACCCTTGATTTAGTTGGATAGCTCACAGGTGGATAAAGTTCTAATGATTGTGATATCAACATACCTCAGGACCATATGTGTCTGCCGAGTTCTTTTCTGTGTTCAGACTGGAATCAACAGTTAGATGGCGAATTCAAGTTTAGGAGACCACCTTATTGGTAAAGGGTCTACTTTTCTTAGAACATAGCAGAGTGTGGCAAGTAAAACCACTACTTGATGAAAGGAGGTCAAAGAATATAACAATCTAGAAGAGCCTCAGTGGTAGGCTGCCCAGCCACTGTAGAGAATATTTTAAACCTTTCAATCTATTGAAATCGTTTTATAACTGTAAACAGAAGTACCTATTTACTGCCATGGTGGCTCAGGCCAGCAATCCCAGCTACCTAGGAGGTATAAATTCAGAGGATCATGGTTTGAGGCCAGTCCAGGCAAAAAGTTAGTGAGACTTCATTGCAACAAATAAGCCAAGAATAGTGACACATTCTTGGTGCAAGCTATTTAAGAGGCTATTGGTGGGAGGATCATGGTTTAGGCCACTCTGACAAAAAGTGTAAGACCCTACCTAAAAAAATTAAACTAATGCAAAAAGGCCCAGAGGCATCTTTCAAGTGCAGACTGCTAGCCTAGCAAGTGTAAGGCTCTATGTCCAAACAGCAGTACCACCAAAAACTGTGGGTTTTTCCATTAATATTTTTTTTACTATCTCCAAATATTGTGCAAAGGGAGTTCTATGTAACATGCCCATTTATAAGTACAGTATATCTTGACGAGTGTCATTTCTTCCATCATTCTCCCCCAACTCCCATCCTGTCTTTTAAAGTTTCCTAGGTCTGTGGTCAGTTATATACTTTGAATCTTGTGACCGTGCTCACCCATCATTTTTCTCTCCACTCATCTGTACCTTCCCCTTGGCTCCTGCCCACCGCAGACAAGGCATGCTTCAGCTACCTAACATTCATTTTTGTTAAATTCTCTTTTAATTGTTCAAAGGGCTTACAGCATGGAAACCCACTTGATCCATGGCTTATATAAACCTAAATTATGATCAAAATATAATTATGATGCACAATTATGATTTTCTCTTCTAAGGGGTAGGTGATACAAACACCCCCCCACCTGCCCCCACACACATATACACACACATACATAAACCCCTTGCGAGTTACTCATAGTGAAAGACCTAAATGCCACATAGAACAATATGAATTGTTTGTTCTTCCTCTCAAGGAACTTGTTTTGACTTGTTGACGATGAGGTCCAGAAATTCATCACAAGTCTACTGTGAGCAAATGATTTAAATAACAATTCAAGAAAACTATAGATGAGTCAAAGGCAAGTTCCTTGAGAGGAAGAACAGAAAAGTCACTTTTTTTTTTGCATCATTTGTTGCTAAATGAACTAGATGGATTTTAATGCTTAAAAGGAAAGTTTTCTGAGTATAATTCCTGTGCTTTCTTTTTCATTTAGCAGTTGGTTATTGAGTGTCCATTGTGTGTGATGGGCCATTCTAAGGCACTTTCAGCCTGTATCTTTCTCTCAAAGCAAATATCCTCTAAGGGTAGAGTAACATTGTGTATATATTTAAACACGAGACAGAAACTTGGTCAGTGCTGAACAAATCCTGCTGGTTTCTAACTGGGAGAAGTCAGCTTCTTGGAAACATGGCATTTACCATGGATTTGGAGGTAGACTTTTGCGATGGAATACATCCAACAGTGTTATCCTTTGGGATCTAAGTGAGGAAAGAATTTAGGGTATTTCCCCTGGTGATTAAAGCCCCAGAGCCCAGCTTTAGTGGTGTCTTCGACTTAACCAGGTTTAATTCCTATCACATGCTGCTGCCATTTAATAAATTCCTGCAGTTAATGAAAGCTCTTTTTCCCCCTTTTTTTCTTTTTCTTTCCTGCCTCCTGCAGTGTGCTGCTCTGGTGGGTGAAGACCAGCCTCTTTGCCCAGATCTTCCTGAACTTGATCTTTCTGAACTAGATGTGAATGACTTGGATACAGACAGCTTTCTGGGTGGACTGAAGTGGTGCAGCGACCAATCAGAAATCATATCAAACCAGTACAACAATGAGCCTTCAAACATATTTGAGGTAAGGACCTTTTTGGAAAAACCTAATTTCTCCTTGACCTTGGCTTGGGCGAAACGAACATGGTTATTACTTTGAGTGCATGAAGCGTTTTTCCTTTGCTGTCATGCACATTATCTTTTAAAAATCATATTCAGCAACTTTCTATTTCATGGAAAAACAATACTTGGAAAAGATGGATTTTGTTGTTGTTGTTATTGTTTTTGGGAATTAAGGAGTGAAAGACTGACTACAAAGTACATTAAACTGTGTTGTAATACAAGGGGTTGTGAAAGAAACTGACAAAGAAGACCAAAAGTCTAAACCTGTTTATCCCTATTTCCCACAGAAAGTGACTTAGCAATAAATGGTATCTAATATAAGTGAATATACGTAAGAAATCATTTCTATGGAGCTGAAGGGTTAGGTGTTTACCTTTATTTATTTTACAAAGTAGGTGAATACTTTTGAGTATTACTCTCATATTTTTCCTTCATACCCTTAATTTCTTTGTATGATGGAAACTTGTAAACTCAACAAATCTCACATGTACTTATAAATTAGCCAAAATTCATTTACCTTTCAGTAGTGAGAATTACCTCCCAGACTCCAGTCTCTCATTATAAACCTACCCTATAATAAAGAATGTTAATCTACTCCTATTAAAGTGTTACTTAGAGAAAAGAAGGGTGGTTTTTTTCCCCTCACAAGATCAGCACTCATTTACTTGAAAATTACTCATTTCTTATAGAGACAAACATTTCGTGCAAGTGAATTGAATAAAAATTGCCAAATCAACCAGGTTTCAACATTAAAACCTTTCACACCACAACCATCATCATCTCATGTTTTCTCAGCTGCAATACCAGGTGCACATGCACAGCTCTGTGATCCATCTATGGAGATATTTAGTGGTTGTCTTCACTGTGGTTTGATGGAAGCCTTGAGTCTTTTGGGAAGCCAATTTTATAATATTAGTTGAATTTTTCCACTTTCCAGCACATAAAAGGTGCTGATTGTTGAATGAGTGGATGACATAAAAGGTGCTGATGGTTGAAAGAGAGAGCAATGACTATATTAATATTGATTATTAGGACAGTGATAAAAACTCCAAGGGCCAATATTTTGGGACACTCCTGCTTTCTGTATGTTGGGTCACTCAGCACTCAGAAAAACTCACCATTTCAATATTATCATTTTGATTTTACAAAGATACTAAGTCTCCGAGAGGCTAAGCGATTTCCCTCGTATTACACAGTTGACAAATAAAAGTCCTGGCATTGAATTTCTAAATTTATCTGGCTTCAAAGTCTAATATCATTGATAAATATAGAGAGATTGCGAATTTGGGTGACAGCCATCCTTTACAAAGGCATATCAAGCTGCTCCTTTGCTTGATATGTTTAAAAATAGAACACAATGTTTCCTCTCCATGTTGGTGACATGGAGGCCCACACCGATGGTGAACAACAGAGACTGTGTGTTTACTGCTAGTACTGTTAAGGTTCTGTAATCTGTCCAGAGCAGTAAGAGGGTCCTATAAGAACACTGCAGTGAGGGGAATGCAGTCTGGGGAGCGACGGCAAGGTGCAGGAAACACTTTTGCATTAGGTTTGTGGTTTGTTATACTTTCCCAGGCTTCTCAGCCGGGTCTTAGAAGGTTCATGTGAGGACTTGGCCAGTTAGAACTGGTACATTGAAGATTCCTCATTCAGTACACTTGTCAGGTTACAGGCCCATTCTCAGTCAGGTAGCATTAAATAAACAGCACTTTAAAAAATGTCCATCTCTACAGGCCTTTTATGTAGTGATCAGCTCCGCCTAGTCTATACTGGGTGAATGCCGTGCATTTTGTGGATTGGGAATGACTGAAAGGTGGAGGTAGGCAGTGTAGCAGTCAGTACTTCCCAGGTGTGCCAGTGTCAGACAAGACAAGTTGCTCCTTGACTGCATGGACATGTATGTCGTATGGTGTTGTTTGCTTGGGGCCTTCCCGCTGATACTTTCAGAGCTTTCTCAGGGGCTAGCTGAGTGATCTAGTGATCTATATATAGCTGCTCAATCTATGTAATGACACTCCTTCTATTTCCCAATATAACTTTCTACCACTGATAGAGTGTTTTCAAGGCTCTAAAACACAAGGTTCATTTAATTTAATCTCTCATTAGGTCATTTTTAAACCAATGATTCTCAACCAAAGGCAATTTTACGCTTCCCCTCTCCCTTGGGGGCATTTGACAGTGTCTGGAGGTATGTGTGATTGTTTCAACTGGGAATAAGATGAAGCAACTGGCTTTTCGTGGGTAGTGTAGGGGTGAAGCAAACTTCCCCATGAGGTATGAGGAGTACCTCAACACAACAGAAAGAGCTACCCGATTGCAAATGACCATAATGGCAAAGTTGAGAACCCTGTGTTTGTTTAAGTCCCTACGAATGCCCTTTTATGAAGTTCATAAGGTATATGGCTGAGATGAAACCTAGTGGATGTGAAGAATGAAAATATGGTAATGAAATCCATTCTTTTATACAACTATTATACACTACTCATAAAGAAACAGAATGAGGAGCCATATCAAATTATGGAGCTGCTCAGGGCCTCAGGACTGATGCGTGAGAGCAAGCATGACTGTTCAGAGAAGTCTGCATGAGGGTTTTTTATGATGTCACAGACCCATTCTTCTTTGTCTAGGTCAAGGGTAAGATCTCTGTGTTACCACACAGCAGCAGCAGTGTCAGGACATTTGCATAGTGAGCTGACTTCTCCACTCTTTGCCCTCTAGTGTTAAACTCAAACATCTCTTCTTTATGGTTGGAAAGGAAGTTTTGAGCATTAAGTGCAATTCCTAAATAAAGCCTTCCCTGGCAGATAAGGTCCATATGCCACATGGGCTTTGAATGCTACCACGTTCTGTTGTCTCTCACCAAGCAGTATTTCACAGCAGTGCTTTGTCAGTGCCAACCACTCATTGGGACTTTCCACCTGTGCTCACCTTCTGATTCTCAAAACCCTGCCTCCTCACATTGGCGAATACCTTGGTCTTGAGCAAGGAGTCATAGCTCTTCCTGAGCTGATCTGCCAATAACGAGCACTATCTACCTTTGGCTTCAATGATAAAATAAAGCATGGAGGAGTTAAATGTTTTCCCCTGACTCAAGTACCATGTTGATGACAGTGCTGGAAACTGGCCATGGAATTTCTGAATCATCATCAAAGCAGAATGAGTTTTAGGGCAATGTAATGGTATAGCACGAAAGGAGACAGAACATAGAAATCTCTTCCTTCTGCTTCTCCCATGCATTTGAATCTGTTTCAATTTTATGTAACTTCCTAAGCCTCACATTAATAATAATAATAATGCCAGAGATGAAGTTGAATTGAGAAAAGAGTAAACTCCAAGTAGGAACAAAGCTGTGTATTAGGGTGCAATTATATAGCTTGGCTGAGTAACTAGACTCACAAAAAGCAATCTCTGCTCGCACAAGCTGTGTTTGGGTGTATAAATGCAGGTGACTAGGTATAATTTAGAAGCTGCTTTGAAAAACAGAACACCAGGCCTATAGGTGTAGCCTCCAGGGACTGACCCATGTGGAAGGAAAACAGGATGCTGTCCCTGGATGGACGGCTGGCAAGATTTATGTTCCAGAATATTGCAACATAACTTCCTTCCTCCTGCTTTCTTTGTGCATTGTTTGAAGGAGGTGAATAAAGGACTGCTTTTACAGGTCAGCAGTGTGTGAAGATGGGTGCCATGGGGTTCTTTGAAATAGCACCCGGGCCTTTCTGGGTCACTGTGGGCCACTTTGTTCCTGTTTTATCTTAACAGTTGCGTTCATGTTTCTGTGATGTAAGTGAGTGGGCAGGTTTCATTCATTCACCTGGTACTTCTGAGTGCAGCTACTTGAGGTTCCTTAGAAGAATAGCAAGTGAGGATGGCAAGTGTTTGTCACAATGTCATTGTTTATAATGAGCACAGAGGACTCGTGCTCATGGAAGAGGATCTTCTGCTACCAGTGGTATTCCTGTTGAGTAATGGCTGGAACTAGAGGCAAGGTTTGAGTCTCTGATCTTGAGTGGGAGTGGAAGATTGTTGTCTATGTAAGGTGTGCTTTATGTGCCCCAAGAAGGGAAATGGTGGCAGCGCTCCAGATTGCTTGATCCTCTGATGAGAATATCGACAAGTATATACACACTTTCCTTTCTTTTGTATATTGTTCATATTCCAAGAAGTTCAAGGATTAGTTTATATTATATACCTATCCAGTAAGTGAGTCCAAGACCTATTGGATTGCTAAGAAGCTGGCTGTCTTGTTCAGGAAAGTTTGTTCTGGACATTGACATAGAAAATGGAAGGGGTAATATTAAGATGCATCAAATGTATAAACTGACTTGTTGAATCAAAACATCTTTGTACAACTATCTAAGGATAATAAAGAAAAAAGAAAATAAGAGAAAATGTATATGTACAAAATACAAAACAAGGTCCACTTGCAAAGATAATAAAAACCTAGTTTGGGAGGCAAAAAAGTGAAGAAATATAAAATGATTAAAATACAAGACAATGTACAACTCCATATTATGTACATTAAAAGGATATAGTCAATAGGCAGACAATGCAAGGCTGCATTTGTATATGTGCATGTGTTTATGTGTATATAGCTCATTAAGGAGGGAAACAAAAATAAGAACTGTTTTCATAGAATGTGAAGAGAAGTAAGGAGCTTGTTTTGCTCCAAGTAAAATTCATGTGTGTATTCAAGAGGACTCAGGAAGTCAGTTTGGATGTGGCATGTATACTCAATCATGGTAGGCCATGAGAACTCATTTGAAACTGTTTATTTCATGCTTATCAGGTGGAGGTAATATATCACTGCAAACTTCAGTAGGAGAGCAGAGGAATAGAGATAGTATTTAAGGGGAAGAGTACTGACATCTTCCCACAGGTAGAAGCACATAGGAAGTAGAGAAACCCAGACAGCAGGCCCTACTGTATTCCAACCCACCTTGTGATGCTAAGGCAAGGAAG